TAAAGTTTAACCATCATGTTGCTTTTAATATCACTTCCATGTTATCATCCTGGTTCTGACTACTATTTCATACAGATGCTACTGCACAAAAACTCATTTAAACAGTACTAAGCACTGTTTTTAACCTTCATCGGTTATGATCTGATCATAATATCGGCATAATATATAATTAGGGGTTTTAAACGTTCAGATTGGAATCTGATGGTAGCAATATTTGGGTAGGAAGCTGGAGAACCATGCAGAAAACAAACATCAGAATGCATCATAAAAGCCTGCAGTGTGATTGTAGTCTAAACCATACATTAACAAAACCTGGTGACAGTCATCAGCCATAATAATGAAATACTCAACCCAGAAATAAGTTTACAACCTAAATGCTCGGCTGTGACTAACAAGTTAATAATTTAGCTTGATCAATTATTTTACCTTTGTCTCACTGTAAATGTTTCAGAAATGTTAAAACAAAAAAAAAAGTTTCCTTTTTAAACTTTCCTTGTTATAGAGACTCTGAACATTTACTGCAATTATTTTTAATAAACTGCCTTTCTCTGCTGTTTGCATTCTGTTGCTGAATATCATTAGTGGTTTCAGTCCTGCGGGGTTCAATCAATCCAAGTTTCCACAAGCAAGTTTAAAGAGGCTATGACTCACTTTACTAAGAAATGAGGAAGCAAAACCAATGGCAGTTAGGAACATACCCTCTGCCAGTGAAGCAAACGCATTGATGAGACGGGCCATGTACTGACGGACAACCTCGTTTGCTGATTTCATCAAATGCAGCACAGTTTTCTGAGAAACAAGAACAATAAAGAGCAGTTTGTGAGGCATAATAAGCTTGATGTTGGATGCAATAAAATTCTGTGCAGGAAGCATAGCTCAGCTGGATTTAAATTTTAGATGTGTTTTTATTTTCAAACATTTGCATTTATCTATAGGTTTAAAGGGTGAGTAAAGGTTTGCATGTGTCTGGTCACCTTTTGGCATTATTGTTCTTTTGTTTTCAGTTTCATTTACACACAAATAACATCACAAACTAGTACGGGGATCATGTGACCAAACATGAGGCGTATTCTAAATACTGCAGTCGTATGTTCTTAAAAAAATTAGAATTAAGTGGTTACTGGTTTAAATGGGGGCCAGTATAGTATAAGTGTAATTAGTTTATAACAAAATGACCATTTGAACCTTTTATTCGTCCTTTAAACACATCATCTGAGGTGTGTAAAAGGAGACAGAGAGAAATGAAACACCTAAACCACAAAAGATCTACAAGTGATGCATGTAGCTGAACTTGGCTTTACAGTCGTTAGGCTGTTTTACATGTTTTCTTCTTACTCGGTAAAGAGGGAAACTGTGAAACAAAATAGTCTCGCCTTTGTAGTAAGGCATAACTTTGCAATAAAAGCCTTATCCTGGTTTAAAGCTCTCTGAAGTTGAGATAGCATAAAGCTAATTAAAAACGGACTCTGATAACCTCGTAGCTCCTATAAACAATGTTCTGAACACAGTGAATTGGGTTAAAATGAGAAAAGAAAAAAATGTTCAGACGAAAGACATTGCATGTCTGAAGAGTAGAAATACATTTCCTAGAACAAATTTGCAAAATCGCACAAAATTATATATATAAAAAAGAAAAATAGGAATGTCCTGCTCCCTAAAATAAGGTATTGGTTTGGTACGTTTGTTTTTAAGGAGCTATGCATACTAGATGCTTTCCTAACTCAGTCCCTGCAGAAATCAGGGTGTGGCTCTTAAGAAAAACAAATACATTTTTTTTTTGTAATCTTACACATTTTTTTCCCTCCACCATTTATGCATTCCTCTGAAATTGCCGGCCCACCTTCTTTGTACTGAAGCGCTCCAGCAGGTCGTTACTGATGTAGGCCTGCAGCACTGTGTCCCTCTGTTCACCAGGGAGTGAACGAGTGAGTCTCTGCGTGAACAGAATTCCAATTAGTCCTCAAAAAGTCTTCATGAATCATGCAGATATGATTAATAGTATGCTATGGTTCTTTTAACCCTTGTTCAAACACTCATGTAACTCTTTGTAATGCTCAAAAAAAGCTCAAAGAACTCTTTGTAATGCTCAGTTGTAGTGCTTGATAAGATCAAAATAAATATGTATTTTGAGATAAGTGTTTCAAGGGAACTTTTTAGCAGAGATATTGCTGTCTGCTCATGATCTACAGAAACTCATAAAAGCCAGACTAACTTGAAAGTTGATGTGACGGTAATATCTTAAGTATACAATTCCTGCTCATAAAAAAAAATTGAATCATTTCATGAATAAAGGTTTACTAGCACAGCAAACTGCATCAATAACTCAGGGAAAATAAACATGCACTAACTGAAGTGGGACAAAGATATTCTGATTTCCTAAAACTCCTCCTACCCAGCGCAGGGCCTGCAGCAGGAGACACCTCAGTCTATCTGAGCCATCAACCAAGTCTTTCTTCAGCTTCTCATAGTCCAGAGAAGGCAGCATGGGAACCTCCTTTGGCCTTTCGATTAATGACAAACGAAACATCTTTTAAGCATTTTAGGATGTTACTAAAAAAACTGCCAAAAGAAATCTGAAAAACACTTACTGTGGTGCAATGGATGCCCGTAGCAAAGAAGAAGCCTTAAATAGGAACACAAAGAAACCAAAGCCATTAAGCATATTTAAAGACTTTTGTTTTACAGCGTATCAATGATAATTTTTTTTTATTTATTTAAGCTGTGCAGAACATATTGAATATTCAAACTATTCCTGTGATCTTCATTTTCATAAACAAGGTTGCCAAGATCCCTTCAGCTACGATGTTAATGTTACTATAATACATGCATCCATCATGCTATAGTTAAACATGCTGAACAATGAAACAGACCGCCTCAAGCTCTTTGTTAATATTATTATCCATGCAGTTTATAACATTCAGGTAAAGGACCGTCACCAGACAGGTATCAGTTTAAATGTAAAAAAAAAGGATGAAACTTAAGCTTTTGTATTGTATTGGTTGTAGAATTGCTGAAAAAAATTATATGTTAGTTTTACTAGTTTTTTGCACTTGGGTCTTCAAAAGAAATTGGAAATATTAGAGGAATATTGAGGAATAGATTATCATACTTTTCCCAGAAAGACCTAATAGAAAACTAAAATAAATGACCAAAAAAATAAAGAATGACAGAATTTTTCATATTTCAAATGCAAATAAAATGAAATAAGATGAAATCCAGTAAAAAAAAAAAAAGTATAATTGCGTGAAAAAACAGAAAACTGAAACATAGTTCTTATATCACCATTGTTTAAAATCTTTTTAGTCACACAGTTCAGGACACTTTATCCTTAACAGTATGCATTGTTCTCCTGTTCCAGCTGTGTCTTAATGTAGTTTGCTGAATCTACAACCTGTTTGTGTCAGATATTCCCCTTGAGATGGCTACTCTTACCATTTTTATTCATTTATTATATGTTGTTCTGTTTGTTTACCTCAACCTCAACGTAGAGGAAAAGCAGCTAGCTTTAACAGAAATGAATGGATGAAGGGCAGCTGAGCGGTTGACCCAAGAAACAAGTGGATGAAATAATGAGGTGTATTCTAAAAGACCATGGAGTCTGGCTTCAATACTGGGATAACAAATAAGGTACTTATTCAGACAAAGGGAGACAGATGCCTTTGAAATAGGGTGATTTAGTGGAAATAAGAAAAAAAAAAGAATCAAGTAATAGCAACATGTTGATGGCGGCAGATAGATTTGATGACATGAAGGGAAAGGATACAGCATGGAACAAGCATGATGTGAGGTGGGGAGAGGAGGGAAAATGAGTGGGAAAGACGTAAAGATGAAACTTACATAGCCATCATCATAAGGACTCATAGAGTAATATCCCTTTGTGGAAAAAAAAAGCATCACACACAAAGAAAACACACACAAAACAAAGTTTGTTCATTTAAAACCGTTCAAATCAAGATTTTTACAGGAGATATTCAACAGCACTTCAAAGACTGATGACTGTAAGCGTCACTATGACGATACAGGTTTGATTTCATTGGTTTGAAATAGGGCTAAGCCGTCAATACCAGAGAGTACACCATGTGCTGAATCCATTTTTTTATTTAATTAATGTAAAATGCACTTGGTCCATGTTGATAAACTGAAAACACATTAAGCACTTAAGATAGAATTGATTGTTAATGCACTATATAGTTTATTCCCTTCATATTTACATAATACGCTGATAAGCTATAAATGTGATATAAACTTATTTAAAAAGCAAAACAATAATGCAGAGTAAAGAACCATATCACCTCCATCTTTTTTTTTCACATTTTGTTTTTTGGGCCTTCCTGTTCCTACTAAGAAATGAAAGTCAACTGAATTTGTCCATCAAGGACACACTAGATCTTGTGATCATCAACAGAAACTCACAATGAACCATGAAGAGCATCAGGACAAAGGCAATGTTTGTAATTAACACAGGGCAGTGAGCTCATGGGATTTTTTTTTTTATTAAATGGTTCTAACAACCAAAGTTTCATAATATAGGCCGGCCTAGCAGTCTAGAATAAAACGGATCCAACACAGTGTCCTGAAAAAACAATAATATACTACTGGCAAAATTATACAATTCTTTAACTCTAGACCCCTGAGTTGTCTTATATCCTAGACCTGACAACTGCAGCAGACAACTATTTAAGATGTTTCTGCCGTCATAAACAGGCTCCTTCTGCACTTTTAATATGCAACACTCCAAGGATCCAGGATCTAGGCCCTAGCTTCCAGGATATATCTCTCTGAATAGGTGCATGTCTTATTCCCGATGACGAAGTGTGCAAAGAGAGACAACTACCATATCAGTTTGTAATCTTTGAAAGTCTTTTTCAAACAATGTGTCAGGCTGACAAGCCCTGAGTGACGCGATTCCTGACAACTTTCGCCAGTTTGGCTTTTACAATGCTATCCTTTAAACCTTGTTCAGATCCGCTATGAAACAAGTTTAGCAGAGGAAAGGGGGATATGAATAATGGATATGAATGCATCTGGTGCTTACAGTGCCAGGCCTTGTGAAGTCTGTGCTCTGGGCAGCGCTTTGCCTCATCTGACTGCTGAACAGCCGATGAAACACGCTCTGCAGATATTCAGGGGATATCTGACGAAAAAAAAACAAAAAAAGACAGAAGGTCTCTTTTACTTTAAAAGGTGCACACTGGAATATGTTTTTCATGTCTGGGTTGAAAATAAATGTGATTAAACATATGGCTATTCTGAAAAATCACTGAGTAGTGGATGTCAATCTTTGCAAAAAAAGAAGAAGGTAAGAAAGTCTAAACATGTGTGCCCATATGTTTGAAACCGGAGCACAGGACAGCCCAGCCTACCATTTTCCCGCTGACAGTGGCCTCTAGAGAGTCGACCAGCTCGGCAGTGATCCCGATAAGGTTATGGTAGTCAGCTTTCATCTTGTTACACTTCCGTACATAGCTGGATATGCGTCGCTCTGACTCAGCCAGCTGAAGCTGTAGCTGATGAATGGCCTCTAAACGGTCACACAAACAGCCAGATTAAAAAACACCAAGATTAAATTAAAAAGTCACCATTACATCTGAAATATAATCTTATAAACAGGAAACGAAAAATGACATTTGATTTCACAATTAGGCATCATTTAAGTCCATATTTATCTTTTTTAATCTCAAAATAATTATATGAAACAGCAAACAAACTTAAGGTCCTCAGCTAATATTTGCACAAGCCTTAAGTATTGCGCATTTTCCTGCTCGGAATGCTTAATCAAATACAAAATGATAAGGTGTGGTTTCAGACACCATAGACAAAAAAAGTTATCCACTAACTCCACTAATCCAATACATTTCTACATGATTGATGCTATTAAATAAAACACAACATAAGTGTATGCTTTGTGTTCTCCTTAAAATAGAGCTTTACGTCTTTAATTTTCCCTGATGTAAGAGGATTTTTTCATGACAGGAAACACCCCCCCTGTGTAAAGCTATATATACATATATATATATACATATATATATATACATACATATATATACATATATATATATATATATACATATATACATATATATATATATTAGGTATGCACGATATTGGGATTTTGGCCGATATCCGATATGCCGATATTTTAAAACTCATGTAGCCGATAACCGATACCGATTCCGATGTCAAAGCTGGACAAAAATAAGTAGTCATTGAAAATAGCTGTTTTGTTATCCATTTCTGACACTTTGAAAAATAATATACTCAAATATATTTTCATATGCTGATATCAAAT